AAGGAGTCTGGCAAAACTGGAATCAATGGGAGGTCAGGGACAAACTCTCTGGTTGTTGGAGTCATACCTGGCACATAGGTAGACGGTTGTGATTGTTGGAGGTCAGTCATCTCAGCTTCAGCACATTTCTGCAGGAGTTCCCCAGGGTAGTGTCCTTGGCCCAACCATCTTCAGCTGCTTGATCAATGACCTTCCCGCCATCATAAGGTCAGAAGTGGGGATGTTCCTGATGAGTTGCACAATGTTCAGCACATTCACGACTCCTCAGATAATGAGGTAGTCCATGCCCAAATGCAACAAGATCTGGACAATGTCCAGGCTTGGACTGACAAATGACAAGTAACATTCGCCCCACATAGATGCCAGGCTATGACATCACAAATAAGAGACAATCTAAGCACCGCCCCTTGACATTCAATGGTGTTACCATCACTGAATCCCCCACTATCAATATCCTGAGGGTTACCATTGACCAGAAACTCAACTGGACTCACCGCATAAACCAGTGGCTACAAGAGCAGGTCAGAGGCTAGGAATACTGCAGCGAGTAACACATCTCCTGACTCTCCAAAGCCTGTCCACCATCTACAAGGCACAAATCAGGAGTGTGGTGGAATACACCCCACTTGCCTGGATGAGTGCAGCCCCAACAACTCTCAAGAAGCTTGACACCATCCAGGACAAAGCAGCGATCTTGATGGGCACTACATCCACAAGCATCCACTCCCTCTACCACCGCGCTCAGTAGCAGCAGTGTGTACTATCTACACGATGCACTGCAGAGATTCACAAAAGATCCTCAGACAGCACCTTCCAAACCCACAAGCACTTCCATCTAGAAGGACAGGGGCAGCAGATATTTGGGAATACCAACACCTTCAAGTTCCCCTCCAAGCCACTCACCATCCTGACTTGGAAATATATTGCTACTCCTTCACTGTCGCTGAGTCAAAATCCTGGAATTCCCTTCTGTTGGTCAACCCACAGCAGGTGGACAGCAGCGGTTGACGAAGGCAGCTCACCACCACCTTCTCAAGGGCAACAAGGGACTGGCAATAATTGCTGGTCAGCAGTGATGCCCAAATCCGACAAATGAATTTTTAAAAAAATGTGTGGTCACTTTCACCCATACTGTCGTAGACAGATGTATGTGTGGCAGGCAGATTGGTGAGGATGAGGTCACATTTCTATTTCCCTGTCTTCTTTTTACCCTCACCAAATGCTGTAGACAGCAGCATCTTTGTCCAGCAATTTTGTCCTTTGGGACTCAACCAGTTTAGTCAGGAGTGGTGCTGTTGTGCCAGTCTTGGTAGTGGATGTTTAAGTCCCCCACCCAGAGCACATTCTGTGCCCTTGCCACTCTCAGTGCTTCCTCCAAATGATGTTCATCATGGAGGAATATTGATTCAACAGCCAAGGGGTGCATGGTAAATGGCAATCAGGGCGAAGTTCCTTTGTTTATGTTTGATCTGATGTCAGGACACCTCATGGGGTCCAGAGTCGAGCTTAAGGACTCTCAGGACAATTTCCTCTTTACTGTACACCACTGTGCCTCCATTTCTGCTGGATTTGTCCTACTAGTGAGATGCAAGACATACCCAGGGATGATGATGTTGGTGGTGTATGGAATGTTGTCTGTATGGTTCTGAGAGTATGACTATATCAGGCTGTTAGATACTTCTTACCTTATGCTGGAAGGACGGCCTTCTAATGTTGGCCCTAACCCTTCGATGTTGTTGAGGCGGACTTTCCAGAGACATCAGGGCCAAGTTTGTTGTTGTCATTTCCGGTGCCCTAGTCGATGGTCTGTCCGGTTTCATTCTTTCTTTGTAGTTGTTAATACAACTGAATGGCTTGCTAGGCCTTTTCAGAACACAGTTAAGAGTCAACGACAATGCTGTCAGGTTGGAGTCTTATCTAGGCCAGATCAGGTTGGAACCCAGATTTCTTTCCCCAAAGGACATTAGCGAACCAGATTCACCAGATGCATCATTAGAGTTTTAATTCTAGACCTTATTGAATTCAAATTCCACTATGTGCTATGATGGCATTCGAGCGTTGGTTCCCAGAAGGTTACCTAGGTCTTTGGATTACTAATCCAACGGCAATACTACTCTGCCATCACCTCTCCTGAATGAAGTATTATCTACTTAAAAGAGTCTTAGATTATATTATAAAAAGAAACAGAAAATATTGGAAATACTGAGCCTGTGAGGCTGCATCTGTGGACAAAGAAACAAAGTTAATATTCCAGGTCAATGATTTTTTATCAAAATCAATAGCTGAGATCTTTTCTAGTATTCAAAATCAAGAAAAACTTATACATACAAAAATAATTGAAAAACCTATCATTCTGATTTAATTGCAGTGACATGGTGAAGTGAGAATTTAATGCTTTGTAATAAGGTAATTTAAAACTGAGTAGTTTTAATATGGTAAAGATAAAATCTCTGCTTTAAGTTTGAAGCTTAACACATACTAAATAAAAATCAATCGACTATTGTTTTGTAATATTGAGCTTCTGCACATTGACTACTTGAAGCTGGTGGCCCAGAGCTCAAATCATGTACTGAAACAGCAGCTGCAACCAGTACAATACCCCAAAATTTACTGTTCTATTATGCGGTGAAACAGGACTAAAACTACTTGTCCATAAAAGCATGAACTGTGTTCCATTGGTTGGTATAGCAGACAGATGCAAACAAAATAAGCTGGCAATACTCAATACATCAGGCAGCATGTGGAGAGAAAAACAGCTAATGCTTCAGGTCAGCAGTCAAATGATCTACAACCTAACTCCATTAACCCACATTTAATCTTGTATCGATTATACCTTTGATTAACAAAAACACCTTTTAGTCTCAGATTTAAAATTAACAATTGATCTAGCATTAGCTTTTGTTTGTGGAAGAATTCTGAAATTCAACCATTCTTTGTGTGTAGAAGTGTTCCCTAATATTTATTGTAAACAGAGCTGGCCCTAATTCTTAGCCTACTTCTCATAGTCCTAGACTTCTGACTAAGGGAAGTAGTTTCTATCTACCTGATCTGCCTTCCTTAATATTTCAAAGCTTTGATCGAATCACCCATAACAGTCTGAATTTCAGAGTATCTAATCCAAATGAAGGTTACTAGAATAGAATAGAATCCCTACAATGTGGAGGAAGGCATTCGACCCATTGAGCCCATTACCGCCTCTCTGAAGAGCACTCACCAACCTCCACCCGGTCACCTTGTCACCCTGCATTTCCTATGGCTAACCTACACATCCCTGGACACTACAGGCAATTTAGCATGGCCAATCCGTGTAACCTGCTAACCTTTGGATTGTGGGAGGGAACCAGTGCACCCAGAGGAAACCCACGCAGACACGGGGAGAACATGCAAACCCCATACAGACAGTTGCCCGAGGCTAGAATCAAACTATAGCCCTAGCGCTGTGAGGCAGCAATGCTGACCACTGAGCCAGCATGCTGCCTAGTTGATATTCGTAACTTCTTGGTTTTGAATTTATAAATTCTATTTATCAGCTGTGAACAAATTACAGTCAGCTCCAGTGAAAGTAACTGTACATTTATGATTTCCACTCTGTTTCAATGCCCATTTCAGGGGCTGCTTTCAGAAAAAATGACCAATCGTGGAAGAAATACCATGGATATTATAGAATCACAGAGGTGTTCCATTATAATGAAGGGATATTCTAATTATATGTTATTATAATGAAAGGTTTAAATAGTGCAAAAGAACTATATGGTATCAACCCAATGCATTCCTTAAAAAAGTAGGTGTTTTTCCTTTCTCTTCTCTCAGCCACCAACAAGTCATTGCTTTGATTCCTCTTTTTCAGACTGAAAATACCAAGTGTTTCAACTGTGTCTTCATAACTCTGATGTTTGACACTAGGGATCTATCTTGTGACTCCTTATCTGTATTATTTCTGATGCTGGAATGTCTTTCATTCTGCTTTCCCTTTGAGTTTGAGCAAACTTGACAATTTCATATTGAGTTGTTAAGCCATTTGTGTAAATTTGAAACAAATAGATGTCCTAACACTGAGTGAAGGAGAACTCCACATACATTATTCAAAATCCAGCTGTACAGACATTTTTGATATTTAGTTAAATTATTAGTGACTCCTTGTTTTACAGGTGTCTGACGTAGGTAATGCATACAGTTTGAGAGATAGACATCTGCGTGCAATATTGGAATAGGCATCAAAATAAGCCCTAGTACTGATGCTTGAAAAAAGCATCTAACAATAGGAGGCTTCATGCCTATTTTATGCACCACCCAACTCTTCATGCAACTGGTTTACCAATGCAGTTGCCAAGGTCAACACACAGCTCGAGTAACAATTTTAAAGTCCTCCTGTCCTCTCTAAGAAAAGATAAAAATGCTTGCCTGAAAAAGCCAGGAGGTGAAGGACTACATTAAAACATAAGTTGCTGTTGAACACTGGTCACTTCTTTCTCATTCCTGGTCACTGATCCATATTTCCTGGCCACCCTGTCTCTTTCAACACCTGCTCGAGAGTCACAGTGGCCAGAAATCAAAATAGTCTTTGCAAAGCTGCCTGGGAATCCTTAGCACATGATTCCAGTTTGTCAGTGCGAAGTCTGGTTTGATTATAAATCTTGTGTTCAAAGTCTGGAAGAATCTGAAATCTGGCAAGCTCTCAGTTCCAATGATTCTGAACTTTGACATCAGATTTGCAGTTTCCCACCAACTCCACAACGCCCTGACATAACTCCTCTGAGAAATTAATAGTTAGTTTTCACACTGCTAGTAATTAGTTATCCATTCATCTGGTTTACCATGCATGTCCAGTTTTGAGTTTATTCATTGGAATAAACAAACAGGCAGACTGAGTACAAGCTACAAAAATAGTATCATTTGAAATCTTTAAACAAAATGCAGCAATTACCTACCTCATTCCTTTCCATTTGTTTTATGATGATGCTCCTTTGTCACTGCGTCCAATGTCAGTAAGCATGAGAAAACTGTTTGTTATGCTGAGGTTTTGGTTAGATCTTCAATCTGATTAAAAGTCTGTTTTCTTAGTTCCATGACTATTCAATGTTCTATTTTCCTCTATGAATACTTCTGTTCCCGTTTCAGGATATGGATTAAAAAGCCATACAAGAACCCATACAGGAGAAAAGCCATACAGGTGCCCAGAAGAAAGTTGTGACAAAGCGTTTAAAACCTCAGGGGATTTGCAGAAACACATCCGAACTCACACAGGTCAAAACAGGATATATAAATTACATTTGGTTAAAGAAAAGCATTTTTCACTTCTCTTCACATTTTTTTCATCCTCATATCCTCAATTAAAAATACAAATTCGTGTATCCTGTTTGGTAACCAGCTTTTTTTATGAGGACCTTTTTTGAAAATATTTGGGTTTTCAGTAAAAACATTAATGTTTGCAATCTGATACTGGTTTGTTGTCAGGGCAACTTGAGTGATGAAGCTGAAAGCTGTAATTCTAAAATACAATAGATTGTATTTTTATGCCTATTTTCTTTATATTCTACAGTGTTATAAATATGTGCCATTAACTCCAACTGCTACTTTTCTTTCCTCTCTGGATTACCTGATTCCGAGAAAACACAGTGGTATCAATGCAATTTCCACATATCACTTCATCTAAGTGATACCATAGTAATTCAGCAACAACCTGCCTTAATGTGACAGCTTTAATGTAGTAAAATGGCCCAAAGTTTTTCTCAAGGGATATAAGGAAAGGTGATTGAAAGATTGGTTAAAGAGGGGGATTTTAGAAAGTGTCTTGAAGAAGAAGGTAGATAAAGATAGATGGAGGAGTTTAAACAGGGAATTTCAGAGTTTAGAGCCTAGGAATCCAAGGATCCAATGGTGGATAGGTTGCAGTTGGAATGAATCAGAAGCCAAAATTGAAGGAGCACAAAGATCTTGGCAGTTGTACATCTGGTGGAGGTGGCAAAGATAGTGATGGTTTAGACCATGGAGAGATTTAGAACCAAAAATAGATGTAATCTGAAATTGAGACTTTAACCTGGAGCTGGTGTAAGTTAATGAACACATTAAGTTAATGATGATGAAATGCACTTGTGAGTTAGGATATGACACAGTATTTCAAATGAGCTCAAGTTTGTGTGAGGTGGAAGCTGTGAGGTCTGGCAGAGTTTTGAGTGTATAAGTCGTGGATGAATGTGACAGCAGCAGATGAATTGAAGTTGAGCCATGCTGCAGAAGAACATGTCGATGATGTTTAAAATGGTGTGGATGTGTGGTAAGGAGTTTATCCTGGTCAAAGAAGACTCAAAAATTGAGAACAATCTGGCTGCAAACTGAAGGAAATGGAGTCAGAGGGTACTTAATGGAGTTTCGGGACTGAAGACAATGACTTAAGACTTACCAGTACTTAGTTGGAGGTAATTTCTGCTCATACAGTATTTGATATCTCAAGGACTGTCATGACAATTCAGAGACCATTGGAAAGGTTGAAAGGGCTGATGGTGTGATAGAGCTGAATGTCATCATAATCTATGTGGAACCTGCCATGCTTTCAGATAATTGTGGCAGAGGCCAGTATGTGGACAAGAGGTGAGAGAAAGTCAGGGACAGATCCCTGGGGACTCCAGAGGTAACAGTGTAGGTGTGAGAAGAGATCCTCTGATCCTGTGGTTGCAACTGGATAGATAATAATGAAATTAGGTGAGAAGAGTCCTATCCAAATGGACGATGGAAGAGAATAGAATAGCTAGACATATCAAAGGCTGTCAGCCATTTAGAAGGTTAAGCGGGATGGTTCATCGTGGCCATAGCTACGTAATGTGTCAGGAAGCCATTTGCAACTTTATTTTGGGGTGGAAATCTGTTTGGAGGGATCCGATCATGGAATTCTGGGAAATCTGGGCATGAATTTGATAGATGACAGCCCATTAAATGACTTTAGTGCAGAAAGGAAGTTTGGAGAAGGGACATTAGTTTGCAAAGACTGTGTACTCAGGAGTTGATTTTTGGAGGAGAGACTGATGATGACAGACTTGAAGGATGAAAGGCAAAAGAGAGCAGTTAATTTGTTCAAATGATTTGGAAATCAAAAATATCTCTGAGAAACTTGATGTGGTATTTGGTAGAGATTGAAATGCTCAAAGGAGAAGATATCATAGGAGGAGGGAGAAGATGAAGTTGTGATTTTGTGATGAGCTCGACATAATTGGAAGGTGCAAGGTGCCTTTCTAATTCATTGGAATTAGGCCTCCTCCAGTTAGGAGGTTTATGCTTGGTTGCTCCTTATCCTTTTTCAAAGCTATTCAGATCTGATTATATTATGATCATTATTCCTCAAATGACCTCCCACTTAAAATGTTTTACCTGTCTCACTTCATTCCCAGATCTTGATTCACCAATGCTTCCTCATTGGGTTGAAAACCCACAGATGAAAGTTCTGTAATGCACACTTTAGGAAGTTTTCCCTTTCAGCATTTTTTGTACTTTAATTTGTTACTATCCACATTAGGATAACTGAATACCCCATTATCGTTACCCTGTAGTTCTCGCATCTCTCTATAGCTCATCTGCAAATTTACTGCTCTGTATCCACCCTGTATTCTTTTCAGTTGTGTGATTTTTTTTTGAGATGTCAAATGTATTCATGACCTTTTCTTTAAGTGTAATTTCAATGCGATAACATTGTCACTAGCTGAAAAATATTAATCATTTAAGAGACCCTATTTGTTTTTCACAGACTATTTGTTTTCAAGTCTTTCAACAAAGCTTTATTACTATAGCAACCAAATCTGGCTGGATAACATGAGCCACAGAGTTACATGGCTTTGTACCAACAATAACAGAATTACCTGCAGGGTTTGGATTTTGCTGAGTTGGTACATATCTTCCAATATATAATTAAAAAGAACACTGCCAGTACAGTTCAGTAGATTTGAAGCTTATAGGCACAGTTTGTGGTTTTCTTAAATGGGTTTGTCCGTTTTGTCATCTTCATCTTTTCCAACAAGTTTTCTTTGCCCATGGCATTAACTCCTTGCTGGGACATCAGATACCCACCATTGTTGCATGTAAGTAGCCTCTTCATGTGTGAAACTAGACAACTACTATTGGGCTATAACATTTTTCATGTTGTCTTTGCTTTGTGACTTTACAGTTTTATATGAACTGTAGCTTGACAGCATGAAATTAAAAGGAGTAATGAAAGAGGTGACAGTGCCAGAATCAACAGTGGATTAACATTTGCTGGCACTCGAGATGAGGAAGGGTGCAAAGATAAGGCAGCAAACCATTCCTCCTTCTACAGCACCTTCCAAACCTGTAACCTCTGCCACCAAGAAGAACATGGGCCACAGACACATGGAAACATGACCATCTACATGTTTTGCTTTCTGCCACATACCATCCTGACTTGGAATTATATTGTCGTTGCTCCACTTGTGCTGAGTCAATAACATGGAACCTCCTTTCAGCAGCACTGTGGATGTAACTACACCAGACTTCGATGGCAGTTAGGGATGAACAATACGAAACTCTCACCTTATGAAAGAAATTTTTAAAAAATCATTGCAAGGTTTTAAAAATTGTTGTCTTGGAGGAAGATGAGCCAATGAAGCCTGATAAGAAACTGTACGTGGAAAGTGAAGATTTGGACAAGTTATAGTTTACATAGAGGTGGAACATAGAAAACTGGGAAGTAGGCTATTGAGTAGTCATTTTTGGAGTCAAACAAGGCCTGGCTGAGGACTTCAGTGTATGTGGGACAAGCTTGGTGGATGCAGTGTTCTGCAGTTGTGCACTTCAAACAGCTATCGATAATAGCTGGTCAGTTTTCCTCCTCCTTACTCAGAGGGTGGTTCAGCTACTGAACCTAGGATCTTCCTGTTATGTAGTTCTTTTCTGGAATTGAAACTTCACTATCTAGCAGGTATTTGTTGCTGTGAATAGGCCAGCTACTAACTAAATTAGCTTGGGAAGCTGCAAGTCATGTTCATGAATTAATCTATTGCTGTTGACCATTTCTGGAGTGGGTTGCCTTTTCTAGAGCATAAGTTTGTAGTTTGAATTGAGGAAATTCAGAAATGAGCACAATTTTTAAAAAACTGTTGTCATCATCATAAAGCAAGTCATTAATGAAGAATACAGGAAACAAAACTAAAAGAGAAAATAATGTAGCAGAATTTCAAGTTTATCGAATATGTCGGGAAGAAATTACACTAGAAATTGAGCTAAAATCTAAAAAACTGGAAGAAAATAAACAATTTCTGAATAGAGACAAATATGAAAATTGAGATAATGAAGTTGAATAAAACTGAAGTAAATAAAATATAATGAAGAGATGAAAGTGTGGGTGCATAGTAGAGCTAAGATCAAAGTGAATGACAAAAGAATAATGTTTACAGAAGAGTATAAAACAAAAGTGAAAGTAATAAAGCTGATCATTTAATGTTGGTATTGATTCTGAAAGAATGGCAGTCAGTGGAACTGTAAACTTTATTTTTATCTACAGCTTTATCAGTCTCAATTTGGACCAATGGAAAGTATTTTCCTGCAGGCCTAACTATTGATATTCAGACAAGAGAATACCCACTTTGAGAGTCTGGCCTATTCTTGATGTCCCGCCTGAAAGTAGTGCTTTGAAAAATATTATTGCTTTTCAGTACTGCATAACTTTTAATGTAGTTCAGTCCTGAAATGTATTTGAACCAACAATGTTCTGCCTAAGATGTGAGTGCCCCTAACTGAGTCAGTTAACACTGAAGAATCAATTAAATGCTAGTATAAATCAACAACATTGGAACAACATTTCAATATTTACTGCAATGAATTCTGTGATTCACTTTGAAATGTAAACGATTCTAGTACCTAAGATCCTGTTGTTATGTGGTTGCTTAATAATACAATAAGAATGACATATATACGATACCTCTGAAGGTAGCTGCGTGTTAAAGGTATTGGTATTCTGTTTAGTGGGCTACAAAGTAATATGTGACATGTTCCCCATGTTCCTTGCACAGTTTCTGAACTGCACTGTGCTGTACAAGCAGAGATTAAGTCAACGTCAGGAAATGGAGGAAGCGGAGTTTTAGAGAAGTGTTGACGGACTGTTACCGTCACAAAGGTAAATGAACATTTAATGCACAGAAACTACACACGAATACAGACCATTTGGCTCACCCAGTCTAGTGTTACTGGCGAGGCCAGCACTTGTTGTCTACCTGTGATTTCCCTTGAGGAGGTGGTGGTGAGCCATCTTTTAAAACTGCTGCTTAGTCACTGTGGTGAAGATACTCCCACAGTGCTCTCACCTGTGGAATTCCAGAATTTTGACCCAGTACCAATGATTGAACAATGATATATTTCCAAGTCTGGATCGCAAGACTTAACAGGGAATCTCAACAGTAATGATGTACGTGTGTGCACACTGTACGCTTTCTTCTAAATGGTAAAAATCGAGGGGTTTGGGTGGGCCTGTCAATGAAACCATGTTGACGCACGTCCTGCAAATGAGCTGTCATTGATTTTTCTTCAGCAGACTGTATAACCTCTTCTTAAATATTGACATGATCTCTGCTCAATTACAAATACTGCATTCTGCAGCCACATACCCACTATGTAACTCTGTTCTACTTTTTAATATTTAAAGTTGTATCTATCAATGTTCCCTCCTAACTAGGCATCTTAATTGATGAAAATAGACTATTTACTTCATCTCATCCCTTGATAACTTGCTACATCTCTAACAAGTATTCATTTAATCACATCTATTTTAAAAATAAATCTAATTTTTCAAATAATGCCTTCTATTTTTACAGCATGATCAATAATTTTACATTTTATTAGTGCTATGTTTGCAAGATTAAACTGTGAATGTGGCAATTTAATATGTATTTTACATAAAGAAATAGGAACAGGAGTACACCATCTGGCCACTCGAACCTCTGGCATTCAATAAGATCATAGCTGATCTGGCATGGGCCTCAACTCCTCTTTCATGGCAGCTCCTTGCTGCCCTCAATTCCCTAATATTTTCAAAAATTTGTCTACTTCCTGTTTAAATATTTGTAGTGATCTAGTCTCCACAACTCTCTGTGGTGAAGAATCCCAAACATTCACTACCCTCTGGGAAAAGAAATTCCTTCAGATCTGTTCTAAATGAATTCCCCTTATTCTTAACAATGTCTCCTAGTTCAAGACTCACCTACTTGTGTAAATATCTTCTCACATTTAGCTAGTAGAACTCCTTCAGACCCTTGTATGTTTCAACAGGATCATTCGTCATTCTTCTAAACTCTAATGAATGAAGACCAAACCTGTTCAGCTGTCTTTGATAAATCAACCCCATTAACCCAGAGGATGTCACATTTCCCCCTAATAAACTCTGTGTGCCAGGTTTTTGCCCACTCAATCTTTCTTTCTCCCCAATCTTTCTTTCTCCCCTTGTAGATTCCTTGTGTCTTATTTCAAAATGTCAGCCGGCCCACATTTGTAGCATCAGCAAACTTGGGTGCATTGCATTCTGCCCCCTCCTCCAAGTCATGAATATGTGTGGTAAATAATTGAGGTCCTTTGAATGATCCTTGCGACACTCCACTAGTTACACCTTTGCAGAAAACGATTAGTGAAGACAAATGTAAGTCCCTTACAGTCAGGAACAGGGCATAATAAGAACAAAAACATGGAAGATCAATCAAATACATACTTCAGTCTTCACAAAGGAGGACTCAAGAAAATGTCCCAAAAATGTGAGGGAACACAGTCTAGTGAGAAATAGGAGCTGAAGGAAACCTGTAATAGTAGGGAAATGGTGTCGAGGAATTTGATGGGATTAAAGGCCAATAAATCCCCAAGGATAATGATCTACAACCCAGAGTAGTTAAGGAAGTGGCTCTAAAAAATAGTGGATATATTGATAATGATCATCTTTTAAAATTCTGTAGACTCTGGAACAGTTCCTATGGATTGGAGGGATGCTAGTCCCACTGTTTAGAAAGGAAGGTAAAAAGAAAACAGGAAATTACAGATCGATTAGAATGACAGCAGTAGTGGGGAAAATGCTACAATCCATTATAAATGATTTAATAGCAGAACTTGACAAATTTACTAGAATTTTTTGAGGATGTCGCTAAATAGTTGATCAGGAAGAGCCAGTGGATACAGTTTACTTGAACCTTCAGAAGGCTTTCGATAAGGACCTACATAAGAGATTAGCGTATAAAGTTAAAACGCAGGTAATTGTGTGTAGCGTACTGACATGGGTAGAGAACTGGTTGGTGGACAGGAAACAGGAATAAGCAGGTCTTTTTCTGAGTGGCAGGCATTCGCTAGTGGGGTACTGCAGGAATCATTGTTTGCACCCCACCTATTCACAATTTGTATTAATGATTTAGATGAGGGAAATGATTAATATATTCAGGTTTGCAGCTGACACAAAGCTGGGTGAGAAGAACTGTGAGGTGGATGCTAAGACGATCGGGTGCAATTTTAAAAAGTTGTGAGTGGGCAAATGCATGTCAGATGAAATATATGTGGATAAATGTGAAGTTATCCACTTTGATCGCAAAAATATGAAGATAGATTATTATCTGAATGGCGATTGGTTGGGAAAGGGGGAGATCCCTGTACAACCAGTCACTGAAAGTGTGCACACGCGTGCAGCAGGTGATGAAGAGAAGTAGTATGTTGGTGGGAGCAGGGATGTCTTGCTGCACTTGTACACAGCCTTGGTGAGATCACGCCCGGATTATTGTGTGCAGTTTTGATCTTATCTGAGAGAGGATGTTTTGGTGTTAGAGAGAGTGCAGCCAAGATTTACTATATCATTTTCTGGAATGGCAGCACTGACGTATGAGAAGAAATTGGATTGTTTGGGACTATGTTCACTGTAGTTTAGAAGAATGATTCTAACAGGACTAGAAGGGTGAACGCAAGAAGGGGTCACAGTTTAAGGATTTGTGATAGGCCATATAAATATGAGATGAGGAGAAATTCCTTTACTTAGAGAGTGGAGAGCCTGTGGAATTCGCTGCCACAGAAAGTGGTTGAGGCCACAGCATTGAATGTTTTCAGGAAGGAGGTGGATATAATTCTTGGGGCTAAAGGTATCTATGGGGACAAAATGGGAATGGTGTACTGATTTATATGACAAGCTATGATTATATTGAATGGACTACTCTTGCACCTGTTTTCTATGTTTTAATTCTGACTTTGTCTTCTATGTGTTAACCAATCCTAAATCCATGTTAATACGTACCCTCAGTACCGTGGGCTCCAGTCTTGTGCAATAACATTTTACGTAGCATCTTATCGAATGCTTTCTGGAAACAACGGTTTGGACCAATTAAATATTAACCTAAATGTTTAGTTATCTAACGAACAAACATCAAAGTAAAATGTATCCCTTTTTTGTGTGAGATAACAAGGTGTAGAGCTGGATGAACACAGCAGGCCAAGCAGCATCAGAGGAGCAGGAAAGCTGACGTTTCGGGTCTAGACCCTTCAGAAATG